CCGGCTCTCTTCGCGCAGCTCCACGGCGCGCGCCCAGCGGGCGGCGGCGCGCTCGGCGAAAAGGCTTCGCCGTGTCAGGCCCGTGCGCGCTGCCGCCGTCGGAGCCGCCGCTGCCTGTGGCTGTCCCCTGCGTGGGCTGGAATGGGGTCACGCTGCTATCTTCGCCGATGCAGCTCCCACTCCAGCACCCGATGGCGTTGCCGCCGCGGTGGTCGCCCCGCTTGGTGCTGGGCAAGCGCGCGAGCTCATGGCGCCGCCGCCCGCCGCCGCCGCCAGCGCTGCGAATGAGCTGGCAAGGGACTGGGTCGGGATTGCGCTGGCCCCCTCCGCGGATGCAGCTCCCAGCCCATCCCCTCGCTCAGCGCCGCCTGCTGCCTCGCTGTGGGTCGTCAGGTCGATCTTCACTGTCGCTCTCGTGCTGGCTGATGCGCGCGCAGGCGTAGTGCGTGCGCAGTTGCATCCAGTCGCTCAGGTGCATGGTCTTCTTACCCTTGTAGCTGGCCCCGGGGCCCTTGATGGGCCGCGCACGCGCTTGCGAGCCGAAACTGAAGCTCTGTGGCCCCCCCGCGTCCCCGATGGATGTCGGCCTCGTCTGGGTCGATTTGGCACGCCCAGACGAGCTCGTCCTCGACGCCCTCGCACAGCCCCTTGTATTCAGCCGCCAAGGCCTGCGTGTCTTCGCTCTGGTCAATCTGGGCACGCACCGCATTGTGATCCCAGTGCTTCTCGAGCATGGGCCCGAAGGGCCGCGACTTGGGGAACGCAATCGGCCCCTTGACCCTGAGCGACTGGCCCAGGTCGCCGTGGCAGGTGGGGCTGAGTTTGACCGCCCTGCGCGGGGTTTGCGTGCCCCGGGGCCGTCAGTCCAGGCCGCGACCCTGTCGTGCATTTCCGCGCTGACGATGCATCAGTCCAATCCTGACAGCATCTTGGAAATGGAGTGAGTGCCGGCAGGCGCCCGCTCCCGTGTCGACGACGTGGGCCCCGACCTTGCAGAGCCAGTTGCTCGCGCGCTGGTGGAACCAGTCGGGCTTGACACTCCAGTCCCCCGCGAGGGTCCGCGGCTTCCCCGCGCGCTTGAGGAGGGGCCCGACCTCCTGCAGCGCGGCCTTGCTGACCTCGCCGACGTCGTCATTGTCTGAGTAGACGAGCCCAGCAGGAGGCCACCAGTCAACACCCCGTTGACGTGGGTCACTGTCGCCCTGCCGTCGGAGACGTGGCAGCTGAGCTTGCTGCCGTGTTCGCCAGGGCCCCGCGTGCCGCGGGTCGCGCGCACTGGGGCCTCCGTGCCGCCGCTGACAGCGTGCTGCTGAGATGCCTCCGCGGTGCTCACGCCTGGGGTCAGCGCGGCGCTCCATCCGACCTGCCTGCACCACTGCTCCTGCTGCACCGCGCGGTAACCGTTGAGGTGGTGCTCCTGGAAGCAGATCGCGTCCCCCACATGCTCCTGCGCGACCGCGAACTGTTGGGGGTCTTGCTGCTCGCGAAGATGTTGGTGATTGGGGCCCCAGCCACTGCCGTTGAGGCTCGCCGGCGTGAATTTTGGCTTGCTACCCGCGCTCCCCCTTTTTTTTGTTTTCCAGCAGAGCGTAGCCCTTGAGGGAGCCTCTGGGCACGCAGCTTGCGCTTGGCGGCAGCCTGGGCTGCGGGGTCGGCGGCGCTGGCGCCGCCGCCGTCGTCGCCCCCTGCATCCTCGCCGCCGCCGACCTTGGCGATTACCTCCTCCATGCTGCCCAGGATGTTGGTGAGGTCCGCCTCCTCGAGCTCCTGCTCGTCGCCGCTGTCGCGTTCGGCTTCAGCTCCCGCTGATGCCCGCGCGGTGCTCCAGGCGACGAAGCTCTTCGACCTGCCCATCCAATTGCTGGGCGAATCATGGGTTGAGCATGCCCGAGGTCTGGTTGAGCGCCGTCAAGAAAGCGGTGGCCCGTTCGCCTTCGCTGAGCATAGCTCCTATGGCCCCTGGGGGGGCTGGGGCTCGAGCATCGCCCGGCGCCCCCTTCACGCGGGGTTCCGTCTCGTTCACGAAACTGCATGGCCAGGAGGTTGTCGATAAGGGCCTGCAGCTCATTCTCTGTGGTTTTGCTCTGTTCGCATTTGCCCTTCAGCTCGAGCTTCTGGGCCTGCAGGTCCGAGATCTCCTGCGTGGCGGCCGAGATCTTCCTTTCCAGCGCTTCTGTGGTGCTCTGCTGGTTCTTCTGCTTGCGTTCCAAGTCGCTGAGCTGTAGGGACGTGGGCTTAAACTCTGAGAGCTCGTGATCCAACTGCTGTGCCACCTGCCGCTTGGCGTCTGGGATCTGTTCTGTGCCCTCCACGCCATCAAGCTTTCTAATTTCGATCCGTAGCTTCTCCTGGCGCCGAACTCGGTCGTCCTTTGGTGCTTGCTGCTGCCCTCCTGCTGCTGGAGCCGTGCCTGCTTCACCGCCTGAGCCTGGGGAGTGAGTACTTCCTTCCAGCTTCTTGACCTTCCTGCGCAGCTGGTTGAGCTCGTGTCGTTCCTCGGCGTCCAGGTGTGACATGCCACTCCACCGCGAGCCTGCCCCTGACCCCTTCTCCCACCAGTCAAACCCGCAGCTCCGAAGGACGTGCCGAGAGCACCAGTCTTCTTGGCTCCGCACTTGTGGCAGTCCCAGGCCTTGGGGGCGCCGCCACCTGCACCTCCCGAGCCTGAGTGGACACCGCCTCGCTGCCCTCTGCTGCCACCTTTGCCGCCACCACTGCGCGCGGCGCCTCGATCACCACCGCCACGTCCTGCCATTGGTCGAGCCCGCCGCGGCTGGGCTCCCAATCGGGCGACTGGGGCCGGGTGTCGGAAGGGTTATGGAAATGAGAGATTTGTGGCCGCGAAGGCCTCGCTGAAAGCTGACTCGATATGGAATCTGATCCAAGAAGAGACGC